TCTAAAATATATTCAAAGCTAAATTCTCCTGCCCCTCCAGTGAACTTATTTTGTGTAACAGTGTTTGTTTTGACTGTGCATAAGAAAAGCTTCAAGCAATGCAAATAATGGCCTTCTGAAACCTAGATAGAAATAAACTGGGCACGCTGCAGAAATGTAAATGTCACTAAAATCTCAAGTGGGTTTCAGATACTGCTTTGAAAATTCACAAATTTGTTCTCTCTTACCTAGGGCTTATGTTTGGGAGGCTATGTTAAAAGAATTCCACTTTAGAAAAACAGTTTCCATTTCTGTTTATGGGAACAGAATTTTCATAAACACATATGACACAAATTTGTCAGCCCTTTACCCAGCCCGGATGCCAATCAATTTAACATGAGTCAGTGGCCTCATGCCTTTCTAATACGAAGCTGCTGTCCCTTGGAGGACTTGCTGATGCTTCGCTTTGTGGGATTTAGAAACAGTAACCAAAGGAGGGAAGGAAGGAATGAAGGAAATGCTCTCAAAGCTGAAATAAGAGTAAGTTCTTGTTTGACTCCTGCTTGTCTGTATTTCCTAACCCCCAGTCCATATTATTCCAAGACCTTTTAGTCCTGATGGAAACCTTATTAATGTTACAGCCTTTCGACTATAGCAACAACAGCAACTGTGTGGTTCACAGAAGGGAAGTGTGACTGCAAAGCCTGATGTTCTTCCTGTTTATTCCAAAAAGGGGAACTCTTTACTGGTTGCTACTACATTTGATTAAGAATTTTACAGTACTGCAACAATTTGCAGTTCCATTTATTGTTATCAGGAGAAGGTAAATAAATGTTAACTTACAAAGCAAATTGTCCAAGAATACAAAGGATCTGACAGAGCTATGACTTAAAAAGCTATTTTTCCTGACGCTTCTGAACCAGTTGCCCATCTGTTGTTCATGACCTCACCTAACAGTCAAGTTTATATCTTCCTTCTAAGGAAAACTCTCTAAGGATTGTGAGAAGTTGTGGATGCCCCATCCCTGGAAGTGTTCAAGGCCAGACTGAACGGGGCTTTGAGCAACCTGGTCTAGTGGGAGGTGTTCCTGCCCAGGGCAGGGAGGTTGGAACTCAATGATCTTTAAGGTCCCTTCCAACTCTAACCATTCTATGATTTATACCAAAGAGGACATAAATATGGTCCTAGGCAAAGTCCAGTAGATTTGACCATTTTTCCTGTGGCATCCACTTCTGAAATGATACTTAATTAAGGGAAATAAAAGGATTAGGCCAACATAATGAAATCTCTCCCTGCCATGAACCCCAAAATTATGCACCTTTACTTTAGGAGCCTTTAACTGCAAAAAATAACTTTATTTTAGATGAATAAAGTGGAGGAACTCTGTGCTTGCAGATAGGTGTTGCATTTAGTTTCACGTACAAAAATCTAGGCTATCCATATACTCTGAAACTTTCTAGTGTGAGCAGCCATCCGCTTGCATGTGGAGTCCAGAATTTAAATTGAACCAGTCCTTCAAGTCCTTACAACCTCTTGCTTCCACGACTGCTATACAAGATGTCTAAATGTGCATAAAGTCAATCGTAGCTCCTAGTATGTATTTTTTTCAGAGTCAATGAAATCTGATGCTGCAGTTTCTCCAAATGCCGCTGTAACTTTTATTAAAATGGAAAGCCAGACATGGTAAGTTTATCTCCAACTATAAAGCATTTTCTTTATCATGTACTGCAGCATTTTAGAGAGAAAACTGAGCTGTGGGAAGACTTCTGTCACATCTTGATAAGGAAAATCCTGGAAGGCTTTGAAAATAATAAAAATGTTGTAAATCTGTATTATTGTGTGCATGATAAATCACAGGCTATTTTTAACTTTGATATTTTCTGGTGGATTAACAGAAATAATGTAGTTTTATTACGATTTATTTCTAGAATTAGTGTTAATCTCAGGGGGAAAATGAAATGCAGAGTGTTACCGCACCTGAGGATGATTAAAATTATTTTCGTTCTGAAAATATTTTCTATTTAAAATATGGCTCTTTATGATTAATTTATTCCCTTCTTGCTGTTCACATACACCATTACTTGTACTTTTGTTGCAAGAGAATCAGGATGTTATGTGATTTGCAAATGCTAATGGCTATGCTTTAAATAATCAGAACAGACACAGAAAAATTATATGCTGATAATAATCTTGAAAATATAGGGGCAGGAAAGCTCTTTCCTTGTCTTGCACTTTAGTGTTAAAAATCTGCGTTATGAACCCTTTTCACATAAATGTTCTGTATTGTTTTGGGTCCAAGTTCTGATTGCTGTTGGGACACAGGCTGTGACTAGGGCAATATTAATAACTGTGTACTGAAACTGCTGAGAATATTTTTACAGAGACCTTTAAATTGTAATGAGGGAGGAATGATAGCTGTGAAGGTTTGTAAATGATTGTGTGATTGAAGACATGGTAAATATCTCCTGGAGATACACAACTTACTTCCAGTGAAAAGTTTGCAAATTGAATTATCTTTGCAAAATCTGGTATTTTACACCAAAGGCCACTGAGTCTAAGTCCCTCACTGGCTTAGACTGATGTATGTCAGGATTAAATCACTCAAAAAAAAAAAAAAAAAAAAAGGCTTTTTAAAAATACTCAGATCAACAAATATTTGAGTTTTACCACTGTAATGGCTGTATGCATCTTCCACTTTCAGTCTGGGGAAACTGTTAACAGAGGACTTTTTGCCTTTCTGAAAAACTCTAAAATCATAAAATGGTTCGGGTTGGAAGAGACCTTAAAGATCATCTAGTTCTAACCCCCTGCCCTGGGCAGGGAGACCTCCCACTAGAGCAGGTTGCCCCATCCAGCCTGGCCTTGAACACCTCCAGGGATGGGGCATCTGCTTCTCTGGGCAACCTGTTCCAGCATCTTGCCACTCTGACAGTAAAGAATTTCTTCCTAATACCTAATCTAAATCTACCCTTTTTCAGTTTAAAACTCTCACCCCTTGTCCTAATGCTACACTCCCCCATAAGTAGTCCCTCCCCATCTCTCCTGTAGACCCCCTTCAACTGCTGGAAGGCTGCTATAAGGTCTCTCTGGATCCTTCTCTTCTCCAGGCTGAACAACTCTCTCAGCCTTTGTAGAAGAGGTGCTCCACCCTCTCCTTCCTACCCTGCTCTGATCATCTTTGTGGCCTTCCTCTAAGCTCACTCCAATAGGTCCATGTCCTTCTAAAGTTAAGGGCCCCATACATGGGGCTGAACACATTGGGGTCTCACCAGAGTAGAGTAGAGGGGTAGAATCACCTCCCTTGACCTGCTGGCCACACTTCTTTTGATGCAGCCCAGGATGTGGTTGGCTTTCTGGGCTGTGAGCATGCATTACCCACTCATGTTGAGCTCCTAATCCACCAACAAACCAAGTCCTTCTCCTCAGGGCAGTTTTAAACAGCATGGGTTTTGTTCTAATGCTCCTGACTTGTTTATGTGCACAGGTTGGCAAGATGGAGGTGGAGAACAGCTAGTTAATATTCTGTTTGCTCCTCCTTGCCCAAGTGTGGCCCTATGCCACGTCTTACCTCATGACAGTGAACGCATTTCCTGGAGACAGGATGCCTAATTTCCTAATGGACACTCTTATGCCATTCAGTGTAATATGACATGTCCACATTAAAAATTATTACTGCTTTATAGGAAAGAAAGTGAGTCAAAGAAAAAAAATGGTTAAAGTGTTCATTTATGTTGCTGTCCAATATAGGGTGCCTAAGATATTTTTTTTTTGCGGAGTACTTAGCACTATCTATCAATTAATATGCTTAAAATATAATCCCTATTACCCTCAATTGCAGTTGCAAGTTCCCAGTGCATTACTGAATACGCCCTTATGATTTCAAATTGGGAGTTCAGAAAATGAAGGAAAATAATACTAGTGTCTAGCTATTAATTCAGAGAGCGTCAGAGAGTTTCTGTTAGAGACAGTACAGAATCCACCTCTTCACAGCTGCCTTTGATGATTAAATCATCAGACTACTGCAGTTTTTCCTTAAACCCATTTCTCATTCACTGTATAATTTTTAATTTTTTCCAGTAAGTGAAGCAGTGATTCTGTAGGAAACAGCATATTCATGAAATGCTGATTCACTCTCATCTTTTGGACGAGAAAAGGGAGGAAAAAGGGTGGTGGTGGGGGAAGCAACAAAAAAAACCCCAAACCAAAAACTTTCTTTGGGGAAAGACTTGTGTGATGATGTAATTTAAAAATTCTGACATCTGTGTGTCCAGGCTAAAGTTGCACAGACAAACTGAATTACTGTATTTCTTTATTCTTTTGTTCAATTCTACAACTTTAATTGAATGTTTTCAATAATAGCATTTGTGTGTAAGTTTCTGTGTTTGGAACCCTAAACCTTTAAAGTCAGGGTTGTTGATTATTCCAATAAAGGCAATATCCAAAAGTTCTCTAACTCACCTTAAATCCCCCTATAATTGCCTCTTTTTATCTTCTAGTTCGGTATTACACAGAAAACTGTCAGAAGCAAGCTTATCATCAGTTATAAACTTGTAACATTGTTAATTAAAAGCATTGCATGAAATATATTTTGTTAGAAGTCTGGCATTATGTCTATCAGGTGTTTCAGAAGATATAAAAGCCTTTTTCTTGATAATACGTGTCTCTAGTTTGAGATGGACTTTCAAAGTACACCAAAGTTTTGCTACTGGCAGTTTTTTGTGGGTGAAAGCAGCTTTAATAACAAGGTAGATATTTTCTTCTCTTTAGATCCTGTGGAGCAAAGTCTGTTGACGTTAGGACACAGCATGATGGCTGGATAATGGCTCTAAAAGCTTCAAGAATGGTGTGGATTTAATAGGGGAGTAGAATATTAGTTTATTCAGATTCAGGGGAGTAAAGCTCATGATTCAAGATCTGTAAGCAGCTTTTACCATTTCCGTTTCTCAAGCTGTGGCTAAGTAAGATTTTAAATGTGTCAAGAAGGGAATTTCATTGAGAGAATTTTAATGGAAAGAGTGGAGTTGAATTTCAGCATGATAGCTTTATTGGTTTCATAACTCAGGAATCGAGTACAGAATGAGGTTTAAAAACAGGAATACGTGGGTTCCAGTGAGTTTCTGACCGTCTCTGTAAATCTCTCCAGATGACACCTCCTGTTAACATGAAAACATTGCTTAGTTTTCTGGTATATAAATCACATTTTTTTTGCTGCATGTCTAAACATCGGGGCCATAACTGAATAAAATATATTCAAGCGAGAAAACATCTGTGAAACACATTTGTGTCCCGAAAATTACTGTCATCATGTTACAGATCCATTTATAGTATGCTAAAATAATGCTAATTCATAATGCTCAATAAAACCAGACTACAAGCTACACTTTGTACTAGTTTGTATCCTGTGCGTGCTGCTGGTTTTGCTAGAGCCTGCAGGTGATAAAGTGTTGCAGAATCAGACCCATTTCTGATTACACTTGTTTGTTTTTCCTGTTGAAAGCACGTAACCAAAAGAACTTGAAACCCTAAGACTAAGATTAGAAAAAAAATCCTTCCACTGCGTTTGTCTTGCTGTTGTGCTGGTTTTAATTAGAAATAGAAAGTTCTGGACCATAGGCCAAATGTGCTTTCGGGATCTTCTTTTTCTGGACCCCAGCCATGTCCAGCCTCCATCCTGGACTTTCTCCTGGCTGTTATGTGCTCCCTCTCTCTCTTAAGAAGGTGTGGGGCAGATAATCTGTTGTCTGTGGTGGCATGGCATGTCCCTGGTGGCATTGCACATTCCTCTGGCTTTCTATTCATGGCAGAGCAGAGTCTGTTGAGCAGTGCCCGTTGCTGTCCCAACTCAGGGCCCTGTTTCTGCCAGACAGAGCAGAGGAAGAGCTCCAGGAACCCTCAGAGGATGCTGACTGTGATGGGGTCTACACAGTGCCTGAAAGGATAATATACAGGACACTGGGTAGACAAGGTGAGTCCCAGGGGCTCTCTTTACCCTATTTTTCAGCATGTGAAGTAGAGATTTGTTACTGTTCTTCACAACCTCCCCCCTCCCTAACAAAAAACCAGGATTCTCAAGTTCCCATATCATTCCCAGAATAGAGATTTATGTAGTTATTTTCCCTGGCGGACAATTCTTCATTCAAAACTGAAATAAGGCTTTAGGATTCAGAATTTTATGATGGTATGATGCGTAGCAGGATGCTGTTGAACAAGGTGACTCAGGTCTGACAGTGCTGGGGCTGAGGCCCTCTAGATATGTTATGTGAGAGTGGTCAAAAAACCTCCACACTTTCCTTCTTCCTCCTGCTGCCGCTGCCCCCCCCCCCCCCCCCCCACCCCCCTCCCCCCAAGATTAATTCCCTCCTGCATTAAACAAATCTATCTTTACTGCTGTGCTTTTAAGGTTTCCCTTTCAAGAGCAAAGAAACAGTAGATAAAGCCTCGGGAAGAGATAAGGACAGGGTTTTGGTGGTTTGTGGGTTTTGGGGGGTCTTTTTTGTGTGTGTGTTTTTTTTTTTTTTTAAAGACAGACAGTTTGGATAATAACAGAACTTAGCCCATAAAACCAGGAACTGACTGGATCTTTGGAGGAAGCACGGCAGGGGACAGTCTCTGCCTTTGCAGTTCAGGAGAAGATATTCTCCTAAACTGAAATGCTGGGTTTAAATTTTCTGTTCCAATTTAGGGCCTTCAATATTGTGATTGAAGTCATCGCTGGTTCCTTTCCCTAAGCTCCTTTTATGTGAATACCTGTATTCTCCAAGATAAAAATCTCATTAGAGAGAAAACTGACATGGACATAACTAAGTGTGAAATAATGTTTTTGTGATGTTAGAATTAGATATTATAAAAATAGTGGGAGTGTAAGGCATTAATGACAGGAGCAAAGAATCTAAAAAGTAATAATGGAAAAAACAAATATGTCCTTGGCTGAAGAATTATCAAGAAATGTCTACCAACCAACCATATTTTCTAGTCAGTAACATTACCTTTAAATGACACGTGGTTTAGCTTTTCAATGCCCTTCAGAATATTATTGGTGGATTTTCTTCTCCTGGAGACTGCAGTAAGTTATACATTTGTTTATCTTACTATTTTTATACTGGCAAAACAGTTGGTGGCATAAGTGGACGCGGCACCTTTCAGAGTTGCTTTGTCTGTTTTAATTAGAGAGAAGCTGCCTGGGGAGATGGACAGTTTTCTTCTCTGAGCACCTTTTCTTTTTTTTGGCTGTATTTTGAATGCCATTTAAATTCCATTTGTTCTGTTAAAACAAATTTGCGAATAAGATATGACATACACTTTTTTTTATTAATATAAATCAGAACAATCTGTAGTTCGGTGTAAAATGATTACGGTTTAATAAGCAACTTCAGAAGCAGAAACCTGAAGTTCTCAGATGAGTTTGGATTGTGTCATGGTTTAACCCCAGACAGCAACTAGGACCATTGCATCCTCTCACTCATCCCTGCTCCCTACCTGCCCTGAAGCATAGGGGGAAGAGGAGGGGGAAAAGGGAAAGAAAAACAACTTGTGGGTTGAGATAAAGCCAGTTTAATAGAACAATAATGGGAAAGGAAAATAACAATTATAATAATAGTAAAAGAATTGGCAAGACACAAGTCACTCTCACCACCCGATGATCGGTTCCCCAACCTGACTCGAGCAGAAATAGAGCTCAAAAATGTGCAAGGTCTGAAAGTGCTGTGTGGCTATGCTAAATTGTTACCATGACACTGAATAATAGTGAGGTGATGAGCTGAATTTCGAATAGCATTAATGGTGCCAAGCAAGCCTTCTCTCCTGCCAGCAAAACATGCAGAAGTATTCCACAAGTAAACCTTTTTTTTTTTTTTTTTTTTTCCAATGTAGCATGGTTGTCCTGCAGCTGAGTAAGGTACAGATGAATTGTGCAGAGAAGGAAGCTGGGTAGGGCAATTTATACTTCCAATTGGGCTCTTTCACTAATGTTTATATGGCATTCTTGTTTTAAGCTGTAAGGATTTTCTGAAAAGTAAAGGTAGAATTCAAGCTGTATTAAGCCCCATGTGTTCTCCTCAGCTTCTGCTTTCCAGACGGTGTGTAGCAGGAGGTCAGCTCTGAAATGAAGCACACTAGCTTGACTTAGCTTTTTTTCTTACCTGAAAAGTCAGGCTCATGAAAAGGCTTAAATTAAAATTGCATGTAGCATTCGGATAACTTGATAAGATTTCCTGTTCATATCATAGCCTGCTGTCTTCCTGTCATCTCAGCTTCTACCTCTGCCACACCATCGGGCTGCTGAGTAGCTTATAGTGCTTACCTCTAACGGTGATTTACATGAGGTAAGGAAAAATTGATACAGAAGGTTGGCAAGATGAGTTGTCTGGATAACAGTAGAGCAGCAGATCTGTTACTCAACTACTGACTCAAATTGCACCTGAAGGGTGAGAAATGCTGTCTTGTGTCACCCCTACCTGACAAAACTTTGTAGTGGCACCAAGTGTAAAAACAGTTTTTTCCTTTTTGGCGCATTTTCACTAGAGACGACAGTGTCTGATTTCAAGTTAGTGAGAAGATGATAGTTTTCAGACTTTCTCTAAGCAGGTGCTTTTAAAATACAGGGTATGGGACTAACTTACTTAATGTTTAAGTCTGCTACCTCTTTGTGGGTTTTGGCTTTGAAGTTCTTATCATAGGTTAAAGTACAGCTTCATCAGCTACATGACTCGCCCCAGAGTCCTGAGGGAATTGGCTGATGTAGTCACCAAGCCACTCTCCAGGACATTTGAAAGTCATGGCAGTCAGGTGAAGTCCCCAGTGAGTGGAAAAAGGGAAACATTGCTCCCATTTCTAAAAAGGGTAGAAAAGAGAAGCCTGGGAATTACCGACCTGTCAGCCTCACCTCTGTGTCTGGGAAGATCATGGAGCATGTCCTCCTAGAAGCTATGCTAAGGCACACGGAAGACAGGGAGGTGAAGGTGATTCAAGACAGCCAGCATGGACTAGATGACCTTTAAGGGTCCCTTCCAACCCAAACTATTCTGTGATGTCCATTCACCTTAGAAACCAATTCAGCAATATTCACGACACAGTCTAGCCCAGCATAGCTAACCATATTGGCAGTGTAGAGAAACTTTTGAATTCTGGTATTGTGTAGCTGTAATCATCTTTGCAAATTAAGGTTTAATCAGCTTTTTCCACAAAGGATCTATCATGACAGATTTAGTTTTTAAGACCTAGAATTGCAAAAAGTCTACTACTCAAACAACCATATTTTCCCCAGTGCTGCATCTCCATAGGAATGCATTGGCAGGGTTTGAACTAGATGGCAAATATGCCACATCTTTCTCATCAGAACTAGAAATACTGACTTTGTGTGGACTGTCACAATGATTCAGTCTTGAAAAGCAGTTTCATGCTGCCTTTGACATCCCTACCAGGCAACAACTGTGCTCATTTTGGAAGGAAAGTTGCAGGCGCGACTGAAATTTGAGTGAGCTATGTTTGACCTAAAGCTGATTTCAAGAGCATTTTAAATTCAAGTGAAATACTTCATGAGGCTTATGGAAAAGATGTGCTTACAATGTTTGTTAGCTTTTATCATTTGGTGGATGCATCTCTTCATGTAGTTTCTCTGAGGTGAAATTAGCTCAGCCTAAGGCTGGACTTGCTGCTGCTGTTTATGGTGATCTCAGCTAGAGTCACACCTCCAGTTCTTGTCCTCAGGAGCAAATAAAGTGGAATCTCATATCCCTCCTTAAAGTAAGTGCATATTTTTCTGAAAGGCATGGGTTTACATTTTCTCCTCTCTAAGTTCTGAAAGAAAAAATTGAAGCTTCGCTTGTATTTGCAGAGAACAAATGCAGAGTTTCTCATGGCTCTCTCACAAGCACCAGCAGAGCATCGTCTAAAACAAAAGATGCTGCTGCTGCAGGGATCCCTTTTGGCTGGGAATGGCCAACAGGAGCTGTGGGACCTTCTGAACACTGCAGGAAACTCATAAGCACTTACAGCATTTTTAGTATTCTAGAAAATATATTTTACTAAACTAAGAAAACTCAGAGGGGCTGTAGCTGCTTATTGGACAATCTAAGATATTATTTTTGTTATGCCCTGTCATACAAGCATCTCAACAGGCAGGTGAATCAGAGGTGGTTGGATTGTGGTGGGGGAGAGAAGGATGGCTGTCACTGGAGTGAAGTAATGATGAAGTATCTTTAAGATAAATGTCCATTTACAAAAAGTCTATAAATTAAAGGTCACCACGTTTTGTCTGCTATGGTATTTAGAATCAAAGCATGTCAGAGAAATGCTTTAAGCGTTTGTTTTAAACAAGACACCTACCCACATCTCTGCCTTTCCTTAAGGAATACCATTCATTGCAAATTCCTCAGTGCTTTGGACATCTTGAAATGGTTGACCTTTTCAGGACAGCTTCTCTCTAAGTCTCATTCCTGTTGTTCCTTACAGAGTTGGTAAAGGGGGTGGGTGCGAAGGGGATGAAAAATATTGCATTTGTTTCAGAAGCTTTTCCCATGCTCACTGCACAGATGGAAGAAATAGTTTCAGTCCCAGAAAAACTAGATGCTTAACTGCTGGAGAGAAAAAGAAGTAATTATTTTTTAATTTGGAAAAAAAAAAAGAATAATTTGTGTATCTTAGTCATTAAAAAACAGAGCTTTGTTAGAGAACTCCTTATGAATAACTAGTCCTTAGAGAGGCATAAACTGCAATCCAGAATGATGTAACACTTATTGATGGCAGCTTCTAATAAAAAAAGATCACAGGTCCCTCCCTCACAAGCTTCTTCCACTGATTTGTTGTTTAGATACTTCCTTATGTTAGACAACACATAGTTAGAAACTTCAATATATTTTTTTCATTATTATCCCCAACAAAACTACAGTTTCCACCTCAAGAGCTTTGGCTTGCAGCTGTAGTTGAGCAAAGAGGTGGATTTCCAGTGGTGAGAGGGGCTGAGGAATTTGCAGGACCAGTGTAAAACTCTAGTGCTTTGGAGGGGTGGTGTAAAGGCCCAACACAAACTGGCATCTCCTTTGGAAGTGCACAGGAAGCCAGCTGAGGAGTGTGAGCAGAAGAAAGCCTCCCCAGTCCCTTTCTGCTCTGCTCTTGGGAGAGCATAGAAATGAGGACAGACAATTCCTTTAGTTTCAGCATACTTACTGTCTTGAGGGATTGCACCTGGACAGCAGAGGCTTGCCAGGCAGGGAACAGTAGTGGTTATTAAATGTGCGACACAGTACTAACCCCTTCTGGATTCCACATATTAAGGATCTTCATGGTAAGCAGTTTCATAACATTAACTGGAGTGTATTGGCTGCATGTAAACAGGTACCCTGAGTTACTGCAGAGGGGATGAAGACATCCACTACAAGGAATTTATTACAGGAGAGGGAGTTCTTTGGTGTGTATTAAAGCAGCGGGAGTGAAGCAATGTAGCACACAAGGAATACAGGGAAGGTGCCAAGTACAGAAAATGCAAAGGGTTCCAAGATGTAGTAATGAGAAGTACTGGGAAAGTGTAAAAGGCAGAGAAAGAGGCTGCAGGAGAAGAGATAAATATGAAGTAAAACCTTTATAATATTTAGAGTGTGATATGTAAAAGAATTTGAATTTAGTGAGATGATGTAACATCATCCGAATCAGCCAAATGCATTAATCCGCAGTTAATCCTGCTGCAGTATAGAAAGCCCTAAGAAAGTTCAGAGAACCTTTATCAGACTTGCACAAATGAAAGAAACCCCCCAAACCAGCCCATGGGTTCCATTCCCTGTGATGTGTGCCAGCCCTTTACGCAAAAAGGCAGGCACAGCACAACACAAGCACCTCTGGTGGGGTATCTGTGTTGGTTGCTGGCAATGATTAGCTCTCCTAGGGAAGCAGTTGCAGTCTTCAAAGGGGAAGCCTTCTGTACAGTGAAAAGGGCTGAATATAAAATGACACTTCACGCTAACAAGCAGCGTAAAGATTTTTAGAGCACAAATAATAATAGAGTTTGGACTTTTCTGACCAACAGGCAGCAACTCTCTCCTGAGAACATTTAGAGAGTCGCACAGAGATTAATTATAAACATGCAGCTTCACTTCCAACCATCGCAAAACATCTGCAAGGTACAGATTGCCATTTGTACGTATAGTATTGCGCGAGAGCGTCCCGGAGCTCACAAAAATACACGCTGGAGCCATGAATCAAATTGGGTCATGTGACGGAGGGGAGGTACCGCGCTGGCTCCCAGCCAGTGGCAGGAGCTGATGGGTGGAACAAACGGGGCATAAAAAGACTAATATGACTAACGGATCCTGGATGCGTGGTACCCTTATTTGGATCTACAGGAATGTAGGCTCTAGCAGTTCTGCAGCTCTACCAGCCTTTTGCCTGACACTGGAACTGCTGCTCACAAAGTAGAATCCTGCTGCTCTGTGGTAGGAAGGATAGAGAAAGAACATGGCCTGCATTTTGAAGGTAAATCTCTATCTGTTGCTTAAATGCATTGTTAGAGAGCCCCTCGCTGCTCAGAGGCATGGATTCGGTGTGGTCCTATTGCATCTTCCTTGTCTTTTTGAATACTGGCTTTGTTTGGCGAATGAATATGGAGAGATTCTGCAACGTACAGCTGTGCTCTGCTTCCCTCTGCCATTCTTTTCCTCTTTCCCTGCATTGTCAGAGCTGCGAGCTACCGGCTAGCGGGAAGGGAACTGTGTACTGAATAATAGGAGGGGGGTGAGGGGCTCTGGTTTGTCTCAGCTGACTTTGAGCTGAATTCCGTCAGGAGCAATTGCATTCAGGCAACCGACTTCCAGTACAAAGGACAAAACGGGGGAAGTTATTTGCTTTTTTTTGACCATGCAGTATTTACCGCTTTTAAAGCAAAGGTTGCAGATGTACACAGCTATCCCATTTGCTCCTTAAGCACACACTCCTCTGCTGAATTTACCCAAGATCCACATGCCTCACACAATTATACTTAACATTTAATTGCTTTTGCTAAGTAAGGGACCTATGTGATAGCAGGCTTTTCCCCTTCAGCAAATATAAGCGTAAACTTACCATGTGATCCTATGCTTTCTCCACCCTGCCTTCCTCACCGAGATAAAAGTATTTGCAGCCAGCATGTCATGGGGATGGAGGGAGCATCACCAGCACCGAGTGTTGAATGAAAGGGGAGGAGGCGGAAGTGCAGTCAGTTGAGAACAAACAGCGTTTGTTTCCTTTACGGTGTTGTCACTTGCAGGGAGTCACTCTCCTGTGCCTGGCTTGAAAGTGATTTGTTTTAGATCCGTTTGCTGTCTGCCTTGCTACTTTCTGTGTGTATTTTGAATACCTTTGCACTGCATTCCTTTCGGTAAATAAAACTCATCTGTGAATGCTTTGTTATTTTCAGTCTGATCTTCTAACAAAGGGTTTATTATCCCAGACTTTGGGATGGCCTCTCGTAGCAGTTGCCTTCAGCATATCAGCAAAATGGATAAATTGCAAAGCTTCAAAATAGTCCCCAAATAATAAACCTTCCTGTGTCTCCTTGAATCCAATTCTTACCACTTTTTTTTTTTTTTTGCGTTCAACTTTAGAAACAACTTCTTATTTTGCTGCACTGTTCTCTTTCATTCATTCATTCCCTTCTAGCTGGTCTGTGGTACATGGATGTTTTTTGAGTTTTCTGCCCCGTACGTGTAGGCTGTGGCACTTTATATTTAAAAATATGGCAAAGTCCGCCTTAAGTACAGAAACTTCCCTGAACTAGCAGGTTCTGCCTGGAGATAGATAGTAACAAACGCCTTTAAGCAGACAGCAGTGATGTAATTGAGAGTAAGTTGTGATTTGGGATGAGGAGATACGAGCTCTGTGAATGGAGTTTGGCTTCACAAAGATAAGTGTGCGCGCTCCTTTTCAAACACTCCCTGGATGATTTAGCTTGGATCTGCGACTCATCCAGAGGACAGAATTTCTTTATGTTGTTTGTTTTTTTTTTTCACTATGTAGAGAGATCACATGCAAAATCTTCCCTCTGGCCCTAACAGTTAAATAAGAGCATCCTTTCACAAGAAAACTTCACTGTGTCCTCCCACCCCCAATCCTTTCCCCTGCACAGTCTGGTGACACAGCCTGCCACAAGCATGACTTCTGCAGGGCCTGCCTTTTACAGCATGAATTACAACACAATAAGCACCTTCCCTTTGCCCAGTCCTGGAGCTCCATTTGGTTTTAATTCTGATGATTAAATTAATAGATAAATTGCTATCCCTTGACAGACAGCTCTCTGCCACCTTAATTCTTAATCTTGTTAATGCAGGCCAGTGCAAGGATAAAAAGTGAAATAGATATGTGAAGATTAGCTTTGCCATAAGGCAGGCTGGACTTCCTCAGACAGACATCCCACAGGAGTAATTTAAATGTCTAGATCAAGGCACCTAACTGTGTACAAGTTTTTAATGTAATGCCTACAGGTACTCCTCAAGTTTTTACCATAACACAGAAATAAAAAAATGTATATTTTTGATGTGATACCAGGCTAATTCCTTCCTGAAAATACAAACCTGTTAGCTACATCTTCTTCCTTTCTCTTAAGTTTATCCTGAGTCTCTTGTTTATTCAGTCAGTAGCCTGTGTGGAAACATCAAATAAAATAAAATGTTCTATAGGTATAGAACTTAAATAAGGAGTGGCACAGTGGATGGGAAGACAGAATAACTGTGTGTTGCAGCCACTTCAGCCCTAAGTGCCTCTGTGGGTCTGCTTTTTGGCTTATCCTGCCTCCTTAGACTTATTAGTTTGCACCACACGAACTTCCCCCCCACCTCCCTCCTGGAACTCATTCCTCTCTCTCTCTGACAAAGATATTGAAACTTGTTGAACGTTGTTCATTCTAAACTCGTAAATCTCTTTATCTCTTCCCTCTTTTCTCCTGGAGAAGTAGGGGGGAGCATCTGTTGCCAATGTAAGCCAATTTGGCCTAAACCTTGACAGTGTGTGAGTTTAGTTTAAATGAGATTGGATAGAGGTGTCTGTAAAGTGCAAAGAACAGAGGTGGCTATTAATAATTAACTGGAGTTATTGACAGTGGTTAAGAGCATATTAGTAAAAGTGTATAACCTTTAGACATCAAGACCTCCTTTTACTATGATTATTGCAAGAAATAATCTCTGTGTGTAGCCCTTGTAGAAATGCTTGGGAAGGTGATTCTTCCTACAGTGTGTGCTCTCTTGGTGCTGTTTGTTCTGCACTCCCTCTAGGAAAGGCTGGCAGGGCTGTTATTGATCATGGCCCCAAAAATTTTGTCCTCCCATCAGTAGTGGGACATTCTCATTAAAACCAGTGAAACTCTCTTCTTCTGAGGAGTTCTGCCTTCTGTTGAGGAAATGCAGAGAAAGAGCCGAGTTCTAAGACACAGGATGTGTTTTTATATTTTCCATCATGTCTTTAAAAATCGTGGCAGAACAGCTTGAGTGAAGCATAGGCATTTCTTGGAAGCAGTTGATCTTATGCTTGTTACTATGGTAGCTACCTTACTGATTACTAGATTAACAGAGTGATTACTGTTTATGTAATCACTATTATTGCTAAAGATGTTGAACTCTCTAACTTCCACTGTATCTGCCACTGACCCCTTAAAATTATGACAGATGTTATTCAATAAATTACTTCAAAGAAACATTATTTTTTGCATAATTGAAAAATGATACTTCAACGTACCTGTCTTAAAATAAATTTAATTTGAATGATTATGATACTCTGAAAAATGTTGATACCCTCCACTGAGGACTGGACAGTGACATTTTAAAGCAAATGTAACAGGTAACTTAGTTCACACATGCTCCACTTCGCAGGAGATTATGCCTGTTTACAAACTCTTCTTTTCAAAGGGAGGTTTTGAAAAGGATGATGGAGGTGGATTATGTTGTCATCATAATACAATTTTAGCTGTGTAGGCTTAATGTGGTAGAATTTAATAAAAAAGTCCATATGTGATAGGTCCATACAGTGAGGACCAAGAAGTGTGATATCTAGGAAGAGATTTCCTTCTATTTTGTGTGCCATGTATTTACTGTGCAGCGAGCAAAAGAGGTTTCGTGTGCCTTTAGACTGCACATGACCTTCTACCAGAAAAGATCACAAATGAGTTGAACCTTCAGTGAAATTCTGGAGTCTAAATAATATTTGTATAATGTAAGGCAACATTCTTGTTATCACAGCTGATTGTGAGGAGTTCTCCAAATGTAAGCAAGTAGCCAATTAAATCTGTACCTGTTTTAATATATTTTTTTATCTAATCAAAAGGTCAAAAGAACTCTTGTAAAATATGACTTATAGGTCTCAACAAAGAAAACCCTTCATTGCATGCTTGTAACAGTTTTCTGTAGGATGCTGTCAAAGATGACCATACCTGTGTGCTCACCTATTGATTGATTTGCATGTTTTCTATCTGTGGTTATCTCAGCTGGTTTAATTAAATCCACGTTTTCCCCTTAGTTTGCATTGTAACTTGGTTTTGGCAGGAATTTTCTTGGAGAGTTTTCTCTGAGTATTCAATGGCCTGTGTCTGATTGGGGTCTTCAGACATTGCAGTAATACAGATAACATTACTATCTGAGGGCATATGCTCCATCTGCACTTTTGAGACTAAAATAGCAAAGCTGATCTCATTATATTACATTTTCCACCCTGGTAAGTAGCTGTTCAGAGGGAAGAATCAGAAGGTCTAAAAGGATCTGGTCCTGGTGTTTGGATGCTTGTAATTTTGGATATTTAGTTATAAATTTGGTTTATTTTTTTTTTAACCTTCATGTGCATGATGAAGATGGTAGATATTTCCTCCTGAGTTCTTACATCACCAGAAGTACATTCTTTGTTTCACCTTTGCTCTGTTTTTCAGGATTTGTGTTTCACCATAACTCCATTCACTGCTAGGGATTTACAGGATGTAGGGCCTTCCGTGGAGATGACCTCTATATCCTGCTTGAATTGGGTCCAAGATAATTCACATACTCCCTTGACTGTTAAATTGACTGCAGTAATGTTTATGCATGGCATCTGTCTGTTTTCCTGTGCTGAGAATTGTACTTGGATCCTGTTTGATTCTCATGCTGTGCTCTTTGCTCTGACATGGCAAGAGATGGAGAGGCCCTAGGGAAAGGAATAAGGTGACCTCCCCTCCTTGTGGGAGGATGCCCATCTGATGGGTCATTTCCCAGCAAAATCTAAATTTGCTGCAAGTTCTCTTCTCAGCCCCTCTTAACCTGATGATCAACAGTTTTGTGGGATGCGGTATTTCTATTGTGCCTGGAATCGTTCCTAGGAATATGTGGTTATATCTTTAGGGACGGAAAGTGTTATGTAAATCTTAGGGATCAGTCTTCTGAGCTTCCAGTTCCTGCCATTTTTCACACTTCACGGCTTCAGCAAGATTTCTTTTTCTTACACGATTATGGTGTAAATATGCAAAGATGCCCCTTATGAGGTATGCACAAATGAGTTGGAAAGTAACAAGCAGATGCCACAAAGAGTTACAGAGAAGAATCAGGATTTCTGAGGCAGCAACCAGGTTTCTTGTTGGATCACTCCATCCTCATTTGCTATGGCCCATTTCCCCACCCCACCCTGCCACCCCCAGCCGCCAAACAAAACTAGCAGAACTTCATAAGTTCATAGTTAATTCTTTCTGATGCTCCTTCTATATTGGATGTTTCTATTTTAAATACATTTCTTAAAATTACTCTGTTTTTAAATAAAAGGCTTCTTTTTTGTTGTTCTACATTGTTTACCTCTAAATTGTTCCAAAGTGAATGAGGCTGCATTAATGACTCCAGCAATGTGCAGGGCTAGGATTTGCTATCATGGTCCAGTGGTGCTTAATTACCATGTAAGATTTTATGGAGTGTAGTACATGGAATTTTGTAATATGTTTTTTATTATGTTGCCTTCTTGAAAATTTCAGGAAATTAAGTTCTAAGAAGAATAAAAACACTTTTCATTCTCTCTTGCAAAGATCTTAAACTAATTATACTGTAAAGATAATATATTAGCCTCCTCCCAAGCTGAAGGAGATGGCAGTTTAGTCCTACAAGAGGACATGCTTTGGTTGAATGAATTTCATTTTGGTGCCCATGTAGCTATAGAGACAATCTCCAGTATAAGCATATTCAGTTGGTT